AAATGTTTAGGACATGTATTACATTTTTATTAAGGGAATGGGTTATTATTAGTATGAACTTGGATTCATTTACCATCCTTGGAAATTCTGTAAGGTAGGTGCAATTTTTTTTTTCTACTAGACTCATAAATTAAGGATTTTTGTAATCCAAATGATTAGATCTATTTAAAGGTAATATTTCATCCCCTCATTGTGATATATTATTATTCAAACGGCGTATTCAATCATTTAGATAGAAAACTTTTGATATCTATGTTGAACACACTCGATAAAAAAAACACCAATAGGAACATCAGGCAAGAAGATGAGATGACGATAAAGAGGGAGCTTGAATGCACGTTCTAGAGGAGAAGGGGAAGGTGATACAAAATTTACACCTAATCTAATAGTTCCACGATGTATGAGGATCAATATTTGTTTTATGTGGCAAGTGGCTATGAATGGTTGTATGAAGAAGAGCGGTCCATCCAAAAATTTAGATTCTAGCACTAGTATGGTTCTAAAAGAGGGATGAGTTGAAGGCCTAAAAGACTTTGACAAGAAAACTAATAGAAGTAGATTAGAATAATTAAGCTTCAAGAAACTAACCTTCATAATTAAAGTTTGAGACACAAGGGAGGGAATCATCCTCCCTATTTTATAAGAGGCCAGCAACAGCAATAATGGGACGATGAAGACATATTGCGACCGTGACCTCTCGATGATAAATCACAATCATCATGAAAATATTTTCCTAATTATGTAATCATGTGGCTAAGAGAATAATCAAGGATAAAGAATAATGACTTTTCGTTCTTTAATAAGGGCTCATTGCATTGTCATTCATGTTGCAATGTGACAAGTGAAGAAAAATGTAATAATTAGAATTATTGATCATAAGATTTATCTGGGATAATTATTGACTTTATGTGGGAGGGATACTCATCAAGTAATGAGCTAATGATGTGTTAGAGATGATATGATGCATCTTGTGTGCAGACAACATGATCGGAATAATGATAAATAATGATATGTGGTGTGATTTGACAACATTAGAGGTGTTAGGTGTTAAGAAGTCGACAAAGAAAAAATGGAGGAGGTTCCAAACTGATAACTTAAACATTTCAACTTGTCTAGAAGATGAGAAGGAGAGTCAATATTCGATGTTAAGCCAACAACACTATAGTATCAAGCTATTAATATGTGCTAAAAAGAAAGCGCCAACTTATCAATAAGGTGATATGATGATAAGAATGTTAATAAGGTGAAAATAAATATGTTGTTTACTTTGGGAAATGACTAGTTGTAAAGGAATCCAACATTTGAGGAGGAATTCCGCAAGGGTTATTAGGAACTTAGCAAAGTGTGGAAAAAATAACAACATTGAGAACAAAAGCTTATAATGGATAAGAAGAAATTGACAACTTTCATCGACAAACTTTTTGTGTCACAAAGATAACAAGTCGTTAGGGAGAAAAAATGGGTGATTTGATAACCCTTAAGTTGAGCCCTTGAAAATTTGTTGACAAATACAAGTCACTTTATTATGTTGATTGAATTTTAGGATATTAAATAAGATGTCATAAATTCCGAGATTCGTATATGAGATGCATATGCAATTGAGATTAAGGGTCTGTTTGGGGCAGCTTATAAGTGCGGGCGGCGTTTTCAAAATGCCGCCGTACCGTTTGATTCGTGTGTTTCGCCAGCTTATCTGAAATTGTGTTTGGGTTTTTACACTGAACGCAGGCCGCGGGTAAACCCAAACAGACCCAGCGGGCCGCATTTCAGGATAAACAGCTTATCCTGAAACTCACAAGCTGCCCCAAACAGACCCTAAATTCACTCAAATATATATGAAAAAAAAGTGATGAGCGAAAAATATCAGGCGAGCAAATTTAATGAATGCCCATTTGCTAATCTTTTCAATCTTCATCATTGTCACAAATTTTAGTCTTATTAAAGTCTCATGATTCATCACTTCACTCTGAGGTTAAAAATGAACAAAGCGTTCAACAAGATAATTGTGGCTCAACTCAATTAAAGCTCGTACATTATCATTTGATTTACTAAAAAAAAATATATATATTTTTTCACATATACTCAATTACTAAATGAGCAACTTTGAATTACTTGTTTGATTCATTTATGTTCATGAATAGTATCATTTAGGAGAGTTTACAATCTTGAATAGTATCATCTAGGAAAATTTACATATATAGCAACTAAAACTCATTATATTACAAATTTCACAACCAATCTTAATAAAGCGGCTCCTTCTCCCTTCTTATTACCAAAACCAGGTTGACACAGGATGTGTTTGGGGTAATGGTGCGGAGCTGCACCGAAGTTTTTTTTTGTTTGACAAAATTGTGTTTTATCTACATTCTCAAAAAACTACAGCTGAAAGCTGCGTTTTCTCTTCATATTTAGCTACCTGCGGTGGCTGCTATAAAACTGTGATCAAACTTTTTCAATTAAGAAAAAAAAAGAATTTATAATCGGCACCGCATCTTTTTTAACAACAACTCCTAAAATCAAGCAAAAAAGGGGGAAAATGATTTAACATTGTGTAGGATTTAATGTTGTCATTTATGTTGTTCGAGATTATTTAGAGTATAACCTGCTCAAATGGAATTTCTTTCCTTTTCTCATTCCTAAACTCCAATTGTTTAACTGTAATCCAGCAGTGACAGAGGCATTAAAAGCATTTTTAATGACATTGTTTTTTGTTTTTTTAATGAGAAATATTATTTTTGAGCAAAAATAATGATTTGGGTGCTTCAAATGTAAATAGCTAAGTTTAAATAAGAAATTTGTAATATGAAGAATTTTGGGTGCCACATGCAAGTCCCCCAAGCCACAACCAAGTTCAAGAGATTGTTTGGGGGCAACTGTAGCTACTCAGCTGCAACTTAGCTACCAAAAAAAAAAACTGCTGTTGGGAAGCTGACTGGTCATTAGTTGCAGCTGTTTAAAAACAGCTGCGTTTTTAAACAGTTGCGTGGCAGTTGTTTCTTGACAAATGATCATTTCCCCCTTATGTAATAATGCAGATAGAAATTCACTTCAAAACAGTACAAAATTCAAATACACATTTCACTTAATAGTAAGTATCAAAAGTGCTATAAGAAAACAATCATTAAACAAGGCAAAATTTGCAATTTTCACATAAGAAATGATAACTATTATGGAGAAATGACATCCGTGTAGGCGCATCATAGAAGCTAAGCACAAAACACAGAAGGATCTTTATGTGGAGCTTTCTCTCCTTCGTTAACTCCTCATCATTTTCTAAACCTTTGTTGAATCTTGAAGTAGGCTCCATGAATCGTCGCTTCTTATTGGGGAATTGACTGCTTCTGCTCGAAATTTTCAAAGCTCTCATGATCCACTGGGAGGAACAAGGGCATACAGACCCTAGTTAAAAAGAAGTGACCGGAGGTAGAAGGGATGGGGGTACAAGTAATAAAAGGATGCTCTCAAAAAAAGGATGCTTGAGAGCGAGAAGAAGGGAAATACCTAGATGAGGCGAGTGATCCGGAGCTCGGTGGGCTAAGAGCGGCAAACGTTGATGGCCGCTGCCCTGAGAAGCTCCCCGCAAGTGGATAAGAAAGAGGGGAGTTGGCGCCCTGCAATTAGGGCAGGGAGGGAGGAGCGTGAGGGACGTTGGAGTGAGGGAGGGAGGAGCTCAAGGGATTCGGCGTCGAACAGGAGTGATGAAGGGATCGAACCCCGTGACCCACGGCATAATAATCCATCACTCAAACACTGCTAGATCCGCATAATATGCCGTGGGTCACGGGATTGGATCCGCATAATAATCCATAACTCAAACGTGGGTCACGAGATTCGATCCGCGGCCTGCTAAAACGATGTCCCGCCACCCTCGGGATGCCGAACCAAACAATCGCGATTCGCGGCCGCTCCCCATGCCGCGCGAAAACCGCCGCCCCAAACAAAACCTAAAGCTTATTCTTATCAATAACATCATTCAAATATTTTATTTCAGTCCCAATCATTATTTGATAAGGCTTGTTCATTCTTTCCAATACTTATGTGTATAAAGTTCAATTAAGGATCAAATAAAATTTAATATAGACACGACTATGACTCATCTATTTCGTCGATGGAGTTGTTTGTTAATAAGCTCAATAATCTCTACATAAATCGAGCTCAAGCGAACCTCAAACATGATATTTATAAACACGATAGGAGCTCGAACAATCTTAAAAGCTTGAATCAAGCTCAAAAATGTGCTTAATAAAAGCTTGAGCTCGAAAAGGCACCCATGGACTCGACTCGATTCACATTCGCCAATCTCTAGCAAAATTATTATAAATCAGGGCTGAAAATGCAAATCGAAATAAAATTGCACCAGTTTAATAAACTTTGTAATTCCGAATTTCCTACGGAGCTGTATGAAAAAAAGCCTCAAATAAGATTTAACTTAAATCTTACCAGAAAAAAAATGATCATTTAAAATCTAGAACTTATTAAACCAACTCTTTCTCAATTATGCCTCCAATTCCGGATTTACAAAATCCTAATTTACATAATTTACTCATGCATGTAAAGCATCTTCAATAATTGAAGAAAATAAATAAATAATAAGATCAATCACAATCTTACATCATTCATTTCAACGGACTTGATACAAGTCATCAAATCCCAACCTTATTACTATACAGCTTGTGCTTATCTAGATAAACAGTTTATCCTGAAAAACGTCATGTCTGGTTCGACCCGTGGTCTGCGTTTAGTGTAAAAACCCAACAACATTTTTGAATAAACTGCCGAAACGTGTTCTCAAAATAGTGAGGCGGTGTTTTGAAAATATCATCCGTAAATATAAGCTGCCCCGAACAGGCACTAAACTACACATTTAAAAAATTATTATTATTATTATTATTCAACATATATAATCAAAATATCGCACTACAAAAAAAAATGATAATAATAATAAAATAAAAACCACAGAATAGAGAAAATGAGAACAATATTAATATAATAATTCAACTTCCAAATAAACCTAAAAAACCCAAAAAATTAAAAAGTTATCCAGCAATCACCTTACTTTACAAAACGAACGGTTTCACTCTTACGATCCAGATCTCTGCAACTTTATTCTTTCCCCCCCCACTGATTTTGCAAGAAACGAACAATTAGATCTAGAATGTCCATTTCCAGATCTTGATCCGAAGCTTAACTTTGCAGCTACTGTCAGCCGTCGATGGCGGCGGCGTCTTCTTCCCCTTTGGAACATTAACCCTGATTTCCTCACAGTGAACTCTAATCCCCATCTTCTTCGTCTTAAAGCCCCCCACCTTAACCCCAGCCTTCGTCTCCAAATCAATCTCTAAATCAACAGTGCTCTTCTTCAAAGCCGCCGCTAATGATGGATCTACGCTCTGCACTGAGTTTTTCAGCGTCGCCCTCACTACAGTCGTGTTCTTCTTCCCTTGCACAAACCCTGGTAAAGATCCGTCTCCTAAATCAGCACCGTTAGATGTCACCGAGATCGAGATCGGATCGTAGATGTACACGAGCTTCTTGTTAGGGTTCCGAGCGCTGATGGCGACGTTAAGCCTGGATGTTAACTGGTTTGAATTGGAGACATTGAGGGTTATGAGTTGGAGGGAGGAGACGGAAAAGGTAGGGCGTTGAGGTTGATATAGGATGTAGAAGATACCGCCTGCAACGGCGGCGAGGAGGACGAGGGTGATGAGGATGAGAACGAGCCAGCAGCAGCAAGCGCAGCAACATCCGCGGCGACTTCGCCTGCGTTTCGCCGGCGGTTGAGGGCGGTAAATCGGGCGGTTGTATTGTTGAGATTTTGTAGGGGGGAAGGATGGCTGGTTTCCGCCACCGCCGGCTGCGGCGGGGGGG